AGTTTATGCTACTGTTCTGCAGGTTATAGATTTTAACTGTTCTGTTCATTTTTAGTTGCTTTGCCATTCTTAGCTTTTAGCTACTGTGGCTAGTTTTAGCATGTAGCTTGTTTTTTGTTTTTAGCTTTTACATACTTTTCTACTCAATTTCATCTTTTCGATATTTTAGCTACTGTTCAGTTGGTTTTGGGATGATGCTTCTGTTCTGCTGGTGGTAGCTTTTAGCTGCTAAATTTTAGCTTTCAGCTCATTTAATAATTTTAGATATTATCCTGTTGGTTTTAGCTTTTATCTACTCATTGTTTTTTGAGCTTCCGTCCTATTAAATTTTATCTTTCAGCTGATTTAATAATTTTAGATACTATCCTGTTGGCTTTAGCTTTTATCTACTGGTTGTTGTTTTGAGCTTCTGTCCTTTAAATTTTATCTTTCAGCTGTTTTGCTAGTTTATGCTACTGTTCTGCGGGTTATAGATTTTAACTGTTCTGTTCATTTTTAGTTGCTTTGCCATTCTTAGCTTTTAGCTACTGTTTCGCTACTGTTTGGCTAGTTTTAGCATGTAGCTTCTGTTTTGTCGTTTTTAGCTTTTASATACTTTTCTACTCAATTTCATATTTTCGATATTTTGCTAGTGTTAGCTTTTAGCTACTGTTCAGTTGGTTTTGGGATGATGCTTCTGTTCTGCTGGTGGTAGCTTTTAGCTGCTAAATTTTATCTTTCAGATGATTTAATAATTTTAGATACTATCCTGTTGGCTTTAGCTTTTATCTACTGGTTGTTGTTTTGAGCTTCTGTCCTTTAAATTGTATCTTTCAGCTGTTTTGCTAGTTTATGCTACTGTTCTGCAGGTTATAGATTTTAACTGTTCTGTTCATTTTTAGTTGCGTTGCCATTTTTAGCTTTTAGCTGTTTGGCTAGTATTAGCATGTAGCTTCTGTTTTGGTGGTTGTAGATTTATCAACTGTTGTTTTATTTTGTCTTTCTGCTGTTTTAGTAGTTTTAGCTTAGTTTCTGCTGGTTTTAACTTTTAGCTTCTGAACTGTTAAATGTTATATTTCAGTTGTTTTGCTAGTTTTAGCTACTGTTTTGCTAGTTTTAGCTACTGTTTTGCTAGTTTTAGCTACTGTTTTGCTAGTTTTAGCCACTGTTTTGCTAGTTTTAGCTACTGTTTTGCTAGTTTTAGCTACTGTTTTGCTAGTTTTAGCCACTGTTTTGCTAGTTTTAGCTACTGTTTGGCTAGTTTTAGCCACTGTTTGGCTAGTTTTAGCTTCAGTCCAGTGCAGTGTGTATGTGTCGCTCAGCACTCCAACACAACGTGTGTAACTTTGTTTGTTTCTGCATCATGTTGTCTCTGCCGCGGGCTGCGGCAGCTTCTCCCCGCAGAGCTCCACTCGGAACGGGGGCAGCCATTACAGAAAACGCGAGGGCGGAACTCGGTGTGCGGGAATCCGGACAGCACCGACACTGAAAAGCGACCAGCCGTGTTTGGTTAGCAGCCGCAGTCTGACGGCTACGTGCCGTTTTCTCTGTGAACCGTACGTCCCTTCGTAACTCTGCATTTTAACTCTCCGCTCCCCCTCAAAATGACGTCTCCCTGCGCGGCGGCACGTACGGCCAACAACGGCACGGCGGTGACGGCGTTGCCCCTCCGTTCTGTGCGAGCCCGGCTGGCTGAGCCCCCTTTCCACGCGGATCTCGGCTCTACGTGGTTTTTGTTTTACGGGAGAGGTCGTCCTCCGCCGCTCAGTTCGTGTACATTTACAAAAAAGTGTATAAAAAACTGTCCTTACCGTTTTACGAAGACAAATGCATCCCTAGATTGTGGAGAGCTTCTGCGCATGCGCCGTAGACTGAAGCGGCTTAACTTCCTGCTTACAGCGCTCGTGCTGTGTTCGATCTGTGTGTAAACTGTCAAAATGTCATAAAATCAGTGGAGTTACTGACAGAAGAGACAAACCGATGTTTGATAAAGAAGATTATTGTAGACTCTGTGTTTTTATTTACATTTATGAAACTATTAATGCTCGCATTGCGTCATGGTAGTTTCTGTTAGATGAGTGTTGCCTAGAAATCACAGCTTGGCTTTCACACTCAGATACACTTATTTTTAATAAAAGTGTTATTTAATCATTTCAACAATGTCTTACAAGTTAAAAGTCACATTGAGCAACGTGAAAAATAAACAGGATTAAAACAAGATATTAATTACTGACGTCTGTACAAAAAAGGCTACTTTATTGTTTTAAGAAATTGTATTTTTCCCCCCATTTGACAATCAAACCTTTATTAACATGTTTACTGTAATACCTTGACTCTTTGGAACATTAGATCATTTAAAAATGTATTTATTGTAGTAAAGTCAACACTTTTCGTTCAACTTTGCAGAGCTGGACGGGTTCTTCTGTAATGAAACGTTTCGTCTCTCCTCCAAGAGACTTCTTCAGTCTGAGAGTTTCAGGCTAAATTCAGGCTTTTAAGTCCTGCCTCCATGTGACTGATACTCACATCACATGACTATCTATCATTGACACCTAATTAACACCTATTGTTAACAGGGGGTGGAATGATACTGGCAATAGCAGCACTGTAGGAGGG